AATCAAATGATTAAAAAGTTGGTTCTGCATAATATGTCCCCTTTAAAAAAAACCTCTAAATTTGCTTAATTAATAACATTTGCTTAAAGGTTACCCTTAAGAGAAAGTTCTGACTGTATAATATTGTCTACCTTGTCACTGTATGTTTTAGGGCTGCCCTGGACGAACCAGAGACCCGCCATATCCTGATGAAAGCAAGCAAAGGAGGGTCCCACCGCAGTCGACGCATGGCAACTCCACTCTCCCTACGCAGACAGCTCAGCAAACTTCCCCCCAAAGATATCTTCAATAACATGATGGTTATGGGTCAGTTGCCACATTGGTGTACATCTGACAGTTTCTGATTTTGAACCTTTACTTTCAAGTGCAGTGCTTTACTTTCCTAGTGCGGTGCTCAGAATGATGATATGACAGATAAAGTGCAACATGTCAGCTAGAGTATCATGAGAACTTTAGATGAGATGAGAGAAAGTTAAAAAAAAGAATGATTTTAAAGGAGCACTGCACCAATTCTACACAAGAAGTTCAGTTTACTTGTGATAGGGGGTACTATTCAGCCTTTGCAGCTGTATAATGTCTTCTGTGACGTGCAAGGTGTTTTCAGAGCCAAGCACTTTTGGTATTAAAATCCATACCAAACCGGTACAAAACCCAGTACTCCTAAAGGTCCAGTGTGTAACATTTAGGAGGAAGTGGAAATGGAATATATTATGCATAACTATGTTTTCATGAATGTAAAATTACCAGAATATTAACACTGGCACTAGATAGGGGCAACTACACCGCTAGATGCCACCAAATTCTGCACACTGGACCTTTAAATGTAGTTAAATGTAGGCGGGGTTGTTACTGGGGCTTCCGGGCAAACCAACTTCCCTTTCCAGTAGCTGGGAAACCATATAGTGTACATTTACTTCTAGACTGAGAACTTACTGCTAAGCTTTTCCTCTGCTCTGCTTACATTCATCCTAAATCGGAACGCCCATGACAAGACGTCTCTGGTTGCTCAGATTCTCTAATCTGAGACTAAGCAGTGGTCTGTAATGTTTCTACCTTCACCTCAACGTCCTGGTTCAGCTAGGTACCTCAACAGAAGGGTAACAAAAATCCAGGACAGAATAGAATGGTTGTATTGGTATAGGATCTTCTGTTAATATTTATTTAACTATTTCTATTTTATGCAACTTTATACTTTATACTTCACTACATCCCAGAGGCAAATATTGTACTTTTACATACAAACTGAATGATTAAACGTTCCTCTATGGGTAGAAATAATTTTTGCCTCCTTCTTAAGATAAATAAGCTATTTCAAACCCCGCTTGGATTAGCTGGAAAATGCTGGAAACAGGGCTGTTTTTTGAACTCTCGAAAAGTTAACTTTTTAGAGATACATAGTTCAGCAATGTTACAAACATATGATGATCTTAGAATATGATGCATTTCTGTAAATTAAAGTATCCAATAGTATATAGTAGTCGTAGTTAGAATTAGTTCAACTATAAACATTTATAGCAGGAAAGTGCAACATACAAATTAATGCAAAAGTAATATTGATCTATAAACATCATCAACATCACCTTAGTTTCTTACCATTCTGCATTTGCAGTCTAATAAATTACTCATAAGTTGTGTTCACTTTGGCGATTTTTTGACTTTGCTGGATCACACCTCCTTTTGCCAAGGATCACCATGGTAACCAGTCAAAACAGCTCAATACTATTGGATTCCATGCCTAAATCTGTCTTGTTTACTGCTTCTACTGCAGAGAAATGCAAAAAGTGGGATATGATTAAAAAAAAGAAGCTGGATAAGGAAATTCTGTAAAAAATAACATCTACATGATGCAATGTAAATGTAAAAAAAAAAAAAAAACCTGCTACTGTTTGTTGTGGGTTGATATTTGTAACATTTATATTTTTAGTTTAAATATTCTGTTTAACTGAGGGTACATTTTTATTCTAGGAGAAAAAAATCAGGTGCAAAAGAACACATTTATTTTCCTTTAATGACAGCACAAGACAGAAGCTATATTTTGCTTGAGAATTGCAATAAAATAATTAGTGTCCTGTTTTGATTTGGTAGTCGGGGGATGGACCCGGGACGACCCATCCTGTCTGGTAGAACAGTTCTGTCCTGAATACAATGAGTGGAGGACAGCAGCACGCATGGTCAACAATCGTGGCAATGTGGCTGTGGGCACACTGGATGGCAACATCTACACAGTGGGTGGGGAAGATCACATCCGATGTTACAGCAGTGTGGAGAGGTGAGAGACAGTACAGTTTCAAAATGTATTTGCTCTTTTAGTCAAATGATTTCTCACTGTAAGAAACTCTCATCATCCTTTCAGCAGATTTAGTTTGTTTTGTCACATGCTCTGGTGAAGTTCATGTTCCAGTTGAATGCAAATATCAAACTGCTGACTTCATGTGAGGCTGTAATTGAACCTGTTTCTTTTGGTTTGCGTTGATTTACTGGTATAAGATGATTCAAACCAACATTTCATTACCTCACACCTGTTTTCACAGAGTGAGAAAGTGAAAGCAAGCATGCTGGAGCTGATGGGGACAGTTTGAAATGACATCATCGCTAAATGAGAGCTGCTAGTCTATGGCTGATCTGTGGAGGATGAAGTCCTAAATGTGCTGTGGCATGAGATCATGTAGAGCAAGAGATGGCCTACAGTTATGGTCCAAACTAAGGAACTACTGTACATTAAAAGGTCTCTGTCCTGACTGATTATAGAAATTTTTTTTAACCAGGAAAGGGGCCTCACTGAGATTAAAAATCTATTTTTCATGAGAGTCCTGACCAAAATAGCAGCAGCACTACAAAACATACAACACAGAGTGCACAAAACACACACTTTAGATGTATGGCCATAAAGACTTGTATGAAGCTTGGCTGAGTTCAAACAAATTACTGAAAAGGAATACCCACATGTAGGAGGAAAATGGGCTGCTTTAAAAACAGTAATATGCATTTCGACCAGAATAACTGTCTTTAGTTTGGGTCTTTTTTTGGTTATACTCAACCCTAATGCCAGCTTTAATCTTAACCCTCAATATGTTGCATGTGGTTAACCCTTACCCCCACTAATTTTAAAAGTGCTCTCTAGTTAAAAAAACTTGCATAACCATTGTAAAATGACGCATAAAGACTTGGCTATTCACTAACCTCTTGAACTACTCTTTAGTAACAATTCTGAACTCAATACTGGTGTACTTCCTCTCTAGATATGGTGAGGGAAAGAAAGCTCTACATGTATTTGTTGTTGTTTACATCACTGAACAGTAGAGGTCAGCATTAAGGCAGAAATTAGATGTGGACCATTTCACATTAAACACAAACTGTAACCCAATCTTTTAGTGTGCAATGGACCACCCAAAATCCTCACTTTACAGGTTAGGGTTTCCTCATCTTCTCATGTTGTCAGGGTATCTATTCCTTATGGACAGACTCAGAAAATAAACTCTCACTCCACACACACACACACACACACACACACACACACACTTATACATTGCTGTAGCACATTTTCTCCCATTTCCTCTCCTCCTATTCCATCAGATGTCTCTGAGGAGCTGGCTCTGTTCCCAATTCCCACAGACAGCCACTCCTCAACCGAATGCCAGCTAGCTGACCCCATAATTATCCTCCCTGACTGGCTTCAGACCAGTAGGGGAAAGACCTGCTCTAAATTGATCAGCTTTTAATGGCCAGAACCAGGGAGCTCGCATTCTGGCTACCTGATCTCTGAGGGGCAGTTATGATGCTGTTGTGACATTTCAAAGGGATTGATGACATCCCACTTGAGCAAAGATTCGAAAATTAGATTGAAGTAATGTTTTGGGGATGTGGGTTTTCATCTAATGGCCTTGAATGGAGACAAAAAAACAATTTTTAATAGGCTTCCAGTGGAGAGGAAACACAGATATTTACATGGATGCCCACACGACTTAAATACTCAAATTCAAAGTCTCTCAGTGTGAATTTGTGTTCCTCAAAAGCACACAACACAAGCAAGCATACAAAACACTTTAAAATATAAAAATATAATGAGAGCTTGTGCCTGTGTTTGTTCTACCAGAACCTGATTTTATTTTCATACTTTGACATGCCTGTTCGTTGACCTCCATCATGGCAGGTACAATCCAGACACAGACAGCTGGAGCACAGATGTAGCACCCTTGAGCAGCCCCCGCAGTGGAGTGTGTCTGGTGGCGATGGACGGATACCTGTACGCTATTGGAGGACACGACGGCATTGCTGCCATAAATACTGTGGAGAGGTACTGAAGCACGAGTACAGAAGATCAATATCTTACAAAATGAACTGTGAATCCTCTTAATACATATTGTAAACAAATAAGACCATGTTCGAGGCATCTCATTAACATTCAGTGGCTCTGCTATTTATTATTTCCTGGGGAAGTTTTATAGGGACATAAAATCCTCTTTGGTTTTTCAGAAAATAATGATGTTTGAAACATATTTTAGCTACCACCATCTGGTACAGCAGCAAAGCTTTAGCTAAGTTCTGTTCAAAGAAACATGCCTCCTTTTAAAAAAAGTGAAAGTGGAATGAGTAGGCTGTGGCTTACACACACAGAATGAAAGTACTAATAATCTTTCTTACCTGACATCTCACATTACTTTGAAAGCAATCTGAAGTGGCTGACTCAGAGAAAGGAACAGAGAAATGATAAACTGAGTTATGCAAAAACATCAGTGATTGACAGACCATTTGTTAAATTGGTCTTGCTTACCTTTGTTTCTTCGTTCTAGGTATGATCCAAATATGAACATGTGGAGCAAGCAGGCACCGATGCTGACCAGACGCACCAGAGCAGTGGCTGCTGTGCTGGAGGGTCACTTGTATGTGATCGGAGGGAATGATGGTGACATGGCTCTGAGCTCAGGTGAGGCCGTCTTTGACATCAAACCTCAGTCACTCACATATTTCAGCCAATGTTTCCTGGAAGGCTGTGACTAAAGATTATTTTTATTATCAATGAATCTGTCAATTCAATTTTAACTCTACTAATGTAAGAATCAAAAGTTTCCAGAGCCCAATTTTAGGTCTCAATTTGTTTTGGTTTGACTGACAGCAAATAACCCAAAGTTCTTCAAAACATACTTTGTGCTTGGAGGCATTTTGTGAATTGACTTGTTCCCACCACTGTTAAAAAAAAATAAAAATGTTTGACAGCTTTTTGACATATAACGACTAGTTTGACCTTTCATTTTCCGCAAGTAGCCAATATTCACACACACACACACGCGCACACACTCACACACGCACACTCGCACACACACACACACACACATTCTTAAGCCCCCTGACCTTGACAAAGATAAACAAGGGTTATGTTGTGCTGCCACTTGTCACAGTCTATTTCAGTCTGTGAGAAGTGCACGTCAGTAAAATTCCCACAACTTATTTTGGTTCCCATCAAGTTCAGGGTCCTTTCTTTAAAAAAAGGGTTGAAAATTAAATTATTTTTTAATCATTTATTTTCAAAAGAAAAAATAAAATCTTTAAAATATATTAATATATTTGTATGTACATCTAAAATTGCAATAGATCAATATAACCTATAGCTATTTTTGTATATAAATATAGATATAAATAAAATAAAATAACACTGTCACTAAACACTGCCTGTGTGTAGTGTTACTTGTACAATGTGTGTATTATATGGTATATACAGCCTCTCCTGACTTCTGTTATCTTCTAACTGTCCCCCAGTGGAGCGATACAACCCTGTAGATGGTACTTGGTCGATATGCGCCCACATGCTGAGTCCCAGAGAGAATGCCGGCTGTGCCGTGTACCTAGGACACATCTATGTGGCTGGGGGCAAAGATGAGCTAAACCTAGAGCTCTGTGCTGCTGAGAGATTTAACCCGGTTACCATGAAGTGGACTCCTGTCAAACGCATGAGAAGCAAGAGGGACAACGTGAGTAATGGATCACCATGACACATCAGATGTTAGGCCTCCCCGCTGATTTAAGGTCCAGTTTATTTTTATGTCCAAATGCTAAGAACAGAAAAGATGGAGAGAAGTAATACGACTGGCATGACTGAAGGTAGGACATATAATCTTCCTTATCAGATTACCCAAGATATTCAGTATAGGTTAAGGGTCAAATTACTATTTTTGGTTCCCTAGTCTAAATGTTTTTTTGTTTTTTTTTTTGCTTTTCACTGATTTCTCTTCACAAGAATATAATAGTGGAGGAAACACTGCTTATTACTTGCTTTTTTTTTAGATGAGGAAATTATTAATATTTACAGGTTTTTATATATATATAGTTACAGGTATTCGTTCATAAATCCATTATTGGACCATTCAATTATTGAACCATTCAAATTTCATGGCAATCCGTCCTATAGTTATCGCGACATTTCACTCCAACCTAGTGGTGGTGCTAGAGAACAGGTCAGCGGATCAGCAAAATCATGGTCTAGGCACCATGAATGTACTAAATTTAGTTCTAATCCATCTACATTTTTCAGAGATAAAATGAAAACTTTGAGCTGCTAGTGGCATTATATTAAAGGCAGGGGATCAAAATAATGAGGATTTGTCCTCTGGGCACCATCAATATCTGTACAACATTTTATTTCAAACCGTCCAGTAGTTGTTGAGATCTTACACTTTGGACCAAAATGGTGGACCGCCTAAAAAATTAAATGATAATGTAATTTGTGTATTGTGTGCTAAAACTATAAAATGTATGTTGCAAAAGTATATTGTGGTACAGTGTTGTTTTACTCTAAGGAAACCTCCCCGGGCTGGTTTGCAAGATTGGAAAAACACTCAAGAGACATGTCAGATCTATTTCATGTAAACTAATTTGTTGATGTAATTTTATTATATTTTATGTAATTTTCTCATATCCACTCTTGTTTATTGTGCCTCAGATGTCCCTTGTAGTCTTCAATGGTGCCTTGCTGGCTGTGGGAGGCTCTGATGGTGTCACCAATCTGAAAACAATAGAAGTTTACTGTCATGACACCAACACATGGAGGTGAGAGGAAAACCAATGTTGCAAAATCCTTGATGCTGTTAAGTGCTCATTGCTGTGGCTTTTTAAAAAAACAGGGCTTCCCAGAGGTTACTCATCATTCAAATAATTCCCAAAGCTCTAACATGTTTTTTTCCCCACTCCCTGTTGATGTGATTTGCAGGAAACATAAAAGTCGTAATGTCTCTATGCTTAAAGAAACAGGCTATAAATTGAATCACCATTGTGCCATATCAATTATCAGTACTAGAAATTACATGGAAACAGTTGGTAGTTTAAATAGTGACACAACATGGTGCAGTGATAACCAAGACAAGCATACACTTTATTGTATTCTCTTAAGGATAATATAATATATAACATAAGTAATTGTATATAACAGTGTGTGCAGTGCGGTGCAGACAAACATGTCTCCCATGACTTTGGTCAAATTACTAAAAAGTAATATGATGAATAAGAAAAAAGAGAATAGCTTTATCACCCAAAGTAATTACTCCCACTCACTAAAATTTAAATGTGCTCATTAAAATGTAAATGTAACATTACATTAATTAATGTTACAGATTGCTATCTGTCTATTATAATACAGTTGTCAAATGAATTTCAAGCTTTATATCTAGAAAGTCTGCCACTTGCATCCAGACAAATACATAGAGTCACTTTGTGATTCATACACCATGTAAGGCTTCTATATATTATATATGCCTCCAGGCTGCTTACTGAATCTGAGTGCTCCACTGTCTGAGTCTTTCCCTCTCCATCTGTTTTTAGACACTTTGGAAGCATGAAGTGCAAGCATCCAGGAGGGAGAGTGGCTGTGCTGTGCTGAGACTCCACAATGCTTGCATTATATGAACAGGACAGAGGTGTTATAGAGAACTAGCCTAATGGATGTACGTCAGCCTCCAGGACGCATTGTGATGTGGTTCAAGTAAGGCAACATAATGACTGAATAATTGAAGAGTTCACTCCAAAATGAGACATTGCTGCATTAGTCAAAGCTGGCAACTGCTGTTATAAAATGACTGCGAGCATTAAATTAAAGCACATTATAGGCTACTGGGTTACCATTAGAGTTATGGGGATTTTTATGTCTTACAAAACAGACCGATTTTATAGAGATGACTCAGTGGCAAATATATTTCAGATTGTATTTTTTCCCCCAAAACAGATCTACTGGATTTTGATACAATCTTGATACAATATGTTGAACAATGCTGATACGGCAAAGGATTAGAAGAATTGGAACATCTGCAATAAACAGATATTGGCTGATATATCCACTCTAACCATAATATTAGACAAAACCATTACAATGTCAAACATGATAAAGTGATCTAGTGTTAAAATAGTGCAAAAATCCCACTTGGAAATATTATGATTATTGTAGTGATTAATTATTGATGTGGAGTAACAGGTATGAGGCAAAAAGATGGAGGTAAACATGGAAATAATGCAGGTGCTGGGTTAAAGAGTGTGCAGGATTAGTAAGTGAATCTTTCTTTTTCTAACTCAATCTTTTGTCACTTACTATTTTAAGATGAGAGTAATAACTTTAACCTTGATGTATTGTAAGGATGCTTTGAAGGGAAGAAACTCAGGTGGCTGTTGGAAGAGAAGAGAGTGTACTGAATGTTCACAGTATAGTAATATGGCTGGTAAAATAGCATAATGACATAGAGAAATAATGTGTTTTATGTTCTGAGCCTTTCTGAAAATCTTTGAATTGTTTTCTTTGAAATGTTAATGTTCATCATACGTGTGTGTTTCTCATCATCAACGTCTGTGATCATCTTGTAAATGACTCATCATTATTGACTGTAAACACTGATTCGTCATATTTCATCATTTCATCAGAAATTGTTGTGCAAAATCACAAAAAGAGAATAAAGAATAAAAATCGGCTGGATCAAGTTAGAGAAAAGACATCTGTGGGAATCAAGATCTCGAGATAAGCGAGAGATTGAGTTCTGACTGCTGGCATGGGAAAGCATAAGAGGCTGTGTGGGCTTTAAAATGATGACGCTCAGAGCTCTTCCCCCTGGAGAATAATGGTCTGAAATGTGGAGAGGCTGAGCACACAGGAACGCACACAGAGCAACACGTCTTTTCCGGAGACACAAGCCAGCGGTGTCTCCCTGCCGTCCCTCTGTGCACACAGAATGAATATTTTTTTCAATTTGAGGGGAAGCGTGGTGAGGCAAATAGCAGAGGACAGACCTGTACCAGGTATGTTTTACCAGAAGAAATAACATTTGCAGTGTAGTAAGATGTTGTGTATTTCTAGAAGTTGCCAAGACTTTGCATGTACTGTGTATGCTCCATCACTGATGTTGGATATTGGGAAATTATGCACAAAAAAATAAGAATAAATAACTAATTTGAGGACTTGTGGTCTAATTCCAATGCAATGTTGTTTGTTTGTTTGCCAAATGTCTATGCCGACCATTTAAAGCCCTGGTCAGACAGATGTACTTGTGTTTTTACTGTCTGATACGTAGGTTGTTATAGCTATAGTGGTTCATTTCTTCATTCACAATCACAACAATACAGTAGCAAAGTTGCACGTTCCACCTTTTACCAGCAGATGACTCTAACTGATGAGGACACAGTGTGCATACACTGGAGCAAACACCATTACATTGCTTGTGAAACAGAAGAATCAGATTTGTACTAGAGGTAAATCCACTGTCTTTTAAACACACAAGGGTGACACGACTACTATCGTGACGACGCAGAATTACAGTTGCATTATCACATTATTGTAAGGTTTATTCAATTCACTAAAAGCTTCTTTTTTTTATTGAGAAGTTTCCTGCCAGCATCCAATGTATTAGTTTCCGCAGCAATCATTTTAAAGTTGTCCGGCAGATGGCGAGGCACCCGTAGGTGACTCCAGGTTGGAAAATGAGCGCCCCCCTCCTGCTGCTCTGTCCTGGGAAGAAAGGATGCTGATGCTGACAGGAAAGCATGGAAACCAGCAGAGACTCAGACGCGCTTCCAAGATGTCCTTATTATAGCTGCGTTCGCCAGCGTTATGTGGCAGAAGACAGACAGCCGTGAGAAGCGGTGCTTACAGTGTTTTTTTAGACCAGGGGTTGTGTTGTAACAGCATCTGAAAACCGTTAGGGGATTTGGAGCTAATTAAAAAGATGAAGGCGAGAGGAAAATCAAGTTTACACTCGACAGCGTCGGACTAAAAATAACAATTCATCCTTCTTCCGCCAAGTAATGTAGTTCTTCCAGACTAGCAAACAAAGTTGTTGCTAAGCGACAACGAAGTCTCCCAGCATGGGTGCCGGTCCGAGGCTCGCGCATTGATATTTAAACGAACTGTCAGGTGTGCGAAAAATGACAACGGTTTCGAAGGCGTGTCAGCCAATCAGCGCTGAGGACCGGGACTCGTTTTTGTTTTCTCCTAAACCTAAATAAGCCACAACGCCAGTGTACAGATAGTGAAGTAGTGGTAGAAAGCTAGGTCGTCCAGCTGTTGTGTTTGTGGCCAAGAGGAGCTACAGTGGATGGATTTGATTAAACCGAACGCTTAAGCTAACTCTTGTTTTACCCCCTGACCGCTGGAGTCCCCCCTTTTTATATTATAAGTGCCATTCTCCAATGATGACAGAGTTTTCGCAGGGGCGCGTTGATGGGAAACATCCGCTGTCACACAGACAGTGCTGTATGGGCAGTGTATGGAGGCTGTCTAAAGCCAGCCTATGTTTACGATGATGGGACCTCGGTCAGACACGGGAAAACAGCCAGGTAAACGAAGTTAGCAAGAAGTTAACCTTTGTAGCCTTTGTATGTTTCTTTAGGAAGCCTGGCTTTACTCACAGTGACTGTGGTGCTCATTTGTAAGTTAATTTACCTTGTTGTCTGTTACTGTATCTCTATGCCATACTATTTAATATTATTAATTGCTTAATTAAAATGATTTAATTGCAGTTCAATGTGTTCTAAAGGGAACTGTATTTGTGATACTCTTAGGGGAACTCTTTCGTGACTTAATGTTGTGAAACTTCAATGATACTAATAAGCTTATGGTACAGTTGTGTCTTCTATAATATGTTTTATGCAATATGATATTAGAGCTTACAATATGGGAGTATAGTGTCCTTCCTATCCCTTAGCTATTTGTAGTGTAGTGTCCTCTATGGTGGACTTCATGG